TGTTGCACTGTGGTAAACTGTGGTCAATGTCATGAGACAAAGTATATGTGAACTGCTGTATGGAAAGTGAATTTACTCTGTAAATCTTCACCCAAATCACAATAATAAAAAAAAAAAGAACCCACTTCTTCTCCCTTCTCTTTGACCTTGCCTGTGTTTGTGTGTAGGCTGGGAAGGCATATTAAGGTTACAGATTCTAGAGTGAACACTGCCAAACAGAATTGTAGGTGTCATTCCACTGTCTCTGTACACATCTCCAAGGAACACAGCCTTGACTTGCTGTCCTGGGCCCTTTCTAGTTGAGAAAAGTTAGAAATAATCTATATTTGTCTGGAGATTATATTTTGAGCCCCTAAGTTTTATTTTTGGGGGGGGGGTTGTCTGGAAAATGGAGCTAGTGTCTACATCATAGGGCTGTCATAAGAATTAAATAAGATAATGTGAATGAAACTGTCCATATGTAGCAGACGGTTATTAATTGCTAGTCCCCTTCTCTCTTCCTGATATATACAGGCTTATTCATAATTTGGGAGCTCTAGTGGTGGTGTGCCTAAGGCATTTGACTGCTAACCAGAAGGCTGGCGGTTCAAAGCCACCAGCCACTCCTTGGAAAGAAGATTGGGCAATCTACTTCCATGGTGATACTGCCTGAGAAACCCAAGGAGGGGTTGCTATGAGTTAGATCCGACTAATAGCAGTGAGTTTGGTTTTTTTTTTTTTTTATTCATAATTTATTCTCAGCATTTATCATAACAATTGGCTTATGCTAGGTGTTCAATTAATGTTAGTTTATTAAATGAATGTATAAATATATATAGTCAATATGTAGATATACAAATGTAAATATGTACATACACTATGTAAATAAAGGAGTTCTGGTGGCACTGCCAATAAAACATTGGGCTGCTAACCAAAAAGGCAGTGGTTCAAACTCACCAGCCTCTCTGAGGGAGAAAGATGAGGCAGTCTGCTTCCATAAAGATTTACAGCCTTGAAAATCCTACTGGGAGGTTCTACTCTGTCCTATAGTGTCACTATGAGTCAGAATCAATTCAATGACAGTGCATTTTTTTGTAAAGCTGAAGTTCAAGTTGAAGCTGAAGAAAATTTAGTCCATGAGAATGAAAGTATGACCCACGTGAATGTATAGACATTTCAAGAATAGATTGTACACATTGAACACTAATGCCCGAGTACCAGAAGAGTTGAGGGATGACAAAAGGTTATTTAAAAGACAGGAAAGGAAGAAAAGATCAAAATGGATGGCAGAAGAGACTCTGAAAGTTGCTCTTGAACAGAGCGAGTAGGTAAAGTGAATGGAAGATATGATGAAGTAAAAGAGCTGAACAGAAGATTTCAAAGGGCAGTTCAAGAAGACAAAGTAAAATATTATAATGAAATGTGCAAAGACTTGGAGTTAGAAAACTAAAAGGGAAAAATATGCTCAGCATTTCTCAATCTGAAAAAAGCAAAGAAAAAATTCAAGCCTCAAGTTGCAATACTGATTCTATGGGCAAAATATTGAACGATGCAGGAAGCATCAAAAGAAGATGGAAGGAATACACACACTCCCTGTATCAAAAAGAATTGGTTGATTTCAACCATTTCAGGAGGTAGCATATGATCAAGAACCAATGATACTGAAAGAAGAAGTCCAAGCTGCACTGAAGGCACTGTCAAGAAGCAAGGCCCTAGGAATTGACAGAATAAAATTGAGACATTTCAACAAATAGATGCAATGCTGGAAGCACTCACTTGTCTATGCCAAAAAATTTGAAGGCAGCTACCTGGCCAACTGACTGGAAGAGATCCATATAGTACCTGTTCCAAAGAAAAGTGATCCAATGGAATGTGGACATTATCAAATAATGTCATTAATATCACATACAAGTAAAATTTTGCTGAAGATAATTTTAAAATGTTTGCAATAGTACATTGACAGGAAATTGCCAGAAATTCAAGTTGGATTCAGAAGAGGACGTATAACAAAGGATATTATTGCTGATGTCAGATGAATCTTGGCTGAAAGCAGAGAATACTAGAAAAATGTTTACTTTTGTTTAACTGACTGTGCAAAGGCGTTTGACTGTGTGGATCATAACAAATTATAGATAACACTGTGAAAAATGTCAATTCTAGAACATTTTATTGTGCTCATGCAGAACCTGTATGTAGACTAAGAGGCAGTTGTTCAAACAGAACGAGGGGATACTGTGTGGTTTCAAATGAGGAAAGGTGCGCGTCAAGGTTGCATCTTTTCAATATACTTGTTCAATCTCTATGCTGAGCACATAATCTGAGAAGCTGCATGAAGACTATATCAAGAAGAACCCAGCATCAGGATTGGAGGAAGACTCATTAACAACCTGTGATATGCAGATGACAATCTTACTTGCTGAAAGGAAAGAGGAGTTGAAGCATTTACTAATGAAGAACAAAGACTTTAGTCTTTAGTGTAGATTACACCCTGACGTAAAGAAAACAGTAATCCTCACAATTGGACCAATAAGCAACATCATGATAAATGGTGAAAAGATAGAAGTTGTCAAGGATTTCGGTTTACTTGGATCCACCATCAACACCCATAGAAGCAGCAGTCAAGAAATCAAACGACATATTGCAGTGGGCAAATGTGATGCAAAAGACCTCTTTAAAGTATTAAAGAGAAGATGTCGCTTTTAAGACTAAGGTGCACCTTAGTGCTCCTCTTCCTTTTCAGCAAGTAATGTTGACCTAAGGCATGGTATTTCCAATTGCCTTATATGCATATGAAAGCTGGACAACGAATAAGAAAGACTGTAGAAGAACTGATGCTTTAGAATTATGGTGTCAGCAAAGAATATTGAATATATCATGGACTGGCAGAAGAAAAAAAATCTGTCCAGGAAAAAGTACAGCCAGAATGCTCCTTAGAAGAGAGGATGATGAGACTTCATCTCATGTAATTTGGACATGTTATCAGGTGGTACGTCCCTGGAGAAGGACACCATGCTTGGTAAAGTAGAGGGTCAGAGAAAAAGAGAAAGGCCCTCAAGGAAATGGAATGACACAGTGGCTGCAACAATAGGCTGAAACATAGCAAGATTGTGAGGATGGTGCAGGTGGGGCAGTGTTTTGTTCTGTTGTACATAGGGTCACCATGAATTGAAATCAAC